TTATGCGCCAAGAAGAAAAATATATAGGCTAAAGGGTCATGCTACTAGTTCACCCGCCTCAATTTAGTAAAAACAATGATTTTATGCGTAGAACAATTGTGTAAAAAAATTCCCTTCTGAGACCATAATCTATACATTCAAATATTCAATTATATTAAAATTTACCTGAATATATCAAACTTATAATTTGGGTCATGATAATATGCAACTATTAATATAATGTCGTAAACTAGCTCTCGTTTTTTAAGTATGTATGTATATTGCATTCATAATAAAAATGAAATAGAACCACAAAAGTTTCGTCCCAAATTTGGTCCATATTCCTTTTCTTTTCTTTGTAGTAAATTACAACGTACAAATTGCATATTTTGCTATTTAGTTTGGGTGATATCCATTGTGGTGAGTAATATGATTTTTAATTGTAGTCATTGTGTGGTGTATAAGTCAGAATAAATTCTCACACATTCCTTAATCTTTAATTTTCTTAGATTTGTGTCTATCTTATTTCCTAGTCTAAACCATTAATTTAATACATTTAGGTGTACTGTAGGTATATACGTAACTTCAGGTAATCTTGGACCATATATACTCTAACTAGTAAACTGACTCTAAAAAAATTCATGGTATGGGGTTACAATAGGGAAAAAATTGATATTAATAATCGCAACTATTGATGGTCCGCCCATAATAATTCCAACTATCGATTATTTTTAAATAATCCCAACTTTAGAGACCTTCCGCTAATAATGGTCCCTATAAATAAATTCTCGTAGTTTCCAAAGTGCATGAGAAGAGATATAACAAGTAATCCCTATAAATAATCCCAACTTTTAATTTTACGCTTAATTTCTATTTAAAATTCACTTTTTATAGGAGGTAATATCTGATCATGGACCATTATTGGCGGATGGTCCATATAGTTGGGATTATACAAAAATAATCAATAGTTGGGATTATTATCAGCGGACCAACGATAGTTGTGATTATTAATTTCAATTTTTCCATGCATATGAGCTCCTTCCGTCCTAAGGTAAAAAAACATTAGCCCTGTATGTGACATTAAAATTGTCTTATAGTTAGAATGTTTTAGGTCCCTTATGGATTGAAACTACCTTTTAAATCCAAAATTGATAATAGACTTAACTTTAGGGTCTGATAAAATTCCTAAAATAAATTTGTAATGTTACAAAAAATAGCCTCAATTTGGAAATACCCGAATCGGCTGTATTGACTGATTCTGCTGAAATTTATGAAATTCTAGCTGAAGTGGCTGTATTGGGTGATTCTGCTGATTTATGAAAAATTATATTTAAAATATATTGTATTAATAAAATCAAGCAAAATAGGTATACAACCAGAAATATAACTATTGCCTTACTTTTTCTTATTATTACACAAAGCGCGTGAAATCAAAAGTTTCATATTTCTTGAAAAAACTGGTTGATAAACCCAAAAACAAGGTTATCATAAGAGCTACCCTATTGCTCTATGGCTATGTTTGGCACACAAAAGGTTCTAGCTTCTTACTTCTAGCTTCTTTATTCTTTAAAAAGACCTTTAAAGACTCTACGGGGGTGTTTGGTTAATGGCCTATCAGCCACTTTTTGACTGATTTGACCATTATTTGACTTTTTGACCAGATAAACAGCTAATAGAAATGTTTGATTAATTGGCTTTTTTACTTAGCCTTTTGTTCCAAACAGCCAAAAACTCAAAAGCCAATAAATATGGCATTTAGGTTTTGGCTTTTCGGTATTTATCATTACATTCCTATTTTACCCACGCGTCCCTTTCTCTTTCGATAAAGGCCTCAACGATTTCTTTTCGTATTAGCCGCACTTCTCCGTTTAATCGACATCCACTCAGCTTAACATCTTCCACCAGGGTAAAATTGAGCTGTGAGAACAACGCAGGGTTGGAATTCGTAGTTGTGAAATCCATGTTTAAGTGGATGATACTTTGGGGGTGAACCTAATCTTTGGGAGATAAATGATCATAAATATTTTAGGATATGTGTTTAATATACGTAGTATTTATTATTCTCTATATACTACCGAGTACGTATGTATCATATTAATTAAAATAATTGTTAAAATAAAATATTATTTGTGTTTATACTTTTTTAGTTTTTAAACTAACAAAAAACGCAGTACAAGTAGACTAGTAGTTGTACAAATTACATTAATAAATTTTTTATCGATGTCCTTAAAAGTCATTTAACAAGTTATCAGCTGATTGTACACAGCCACTTTATCAAACATTATTTTATAAACAGCTAATACTATCAGCCAATCAAAACAGTCAACTGAACTCGCTGTCATCCATCAGCCAACAGCTAACAGCCAACTGCCATTTGCCAAACGCCCCATACTTGTATGTTTGACATGACATTTTTTAAGAGCTTTTCAAAAATTAAAAGATTTTTTTAGATGCTATCGGGTGTAGCATCTGAGAAAAGCTCGTGACTTTTAGTATTAATTAGTCCTAGCAGCTTGTATATCAAAACGAACTAAATCAAACAGTCAGCTTTTTACCAAACAGCTATCACCTTTTCTTTTTAAGATCTTTTCAGTCACTAAAAGCTACTACCTTCGTCCCATTTATATGGGGACAGAAGAGAGTGACACGGTTATTACGAAAAGTGGGTTTGTGTGGTTGATATTAATTGATAAAGTAAGAATAAAGTAAGAATGATTTAGAGCCACACAAACTTTTCCAAATATGGTATGGGACAATTTAAGTGGAACTTCCCGAAAAGGTAAAATGGGATAATATAAATAGGACGGAGGGAGTAACAGCTACTAAAAAGCTCGTAAAAGTATTTTTTTATCTAGTTGGGCCAAACATACCTTATATACAAGGGACAGCGCTCAAATTAAACTTACAAACTTGGGAAGTATCTTCTTATTTAAAAATATAATCAAAACATATTTTACGATTTAAATGCAAACCTAGTAAGGAAATAAGGTTCAAGGAATAAATGGAACATAAAATTATTGACTTTTTTCGGATACTGTACCGTATTAAAGGGATAAAAGATCTATTCCTTTCTTTTCAAATAATTATATAAAACCGACATGCAACACTTCTTCTAGCTTAGTCTGAAATGGAAGTTTGAAAAGTTTGAGTTTTGTTCCTTTCCACATTGGCTTTCTGCCCGACATCCAGCTAGTAAATTCATGAGGACTAATATAAATTCATTTAGTTCTCTTTATTTATTATGTATTATGTATGTATGATTATGCAATTATTAGTTGTACACATTCACACAGATGTTTATTTTTTTTACCATGTCGGTGCACACGTATAATGAATTTGTGTGGAAAAATCTTACCCTGCGTGTAAGATTTTTTAGTAACAAGTTTGTGTCGATCAATGTGAACAAAATCTTAGCAGCATGAAAATAACAAAACAGAGTATACATTTATAATCCATTTATAATATATTCGCTTAGTGACACAAATTGCCGTCAGACTTTTTTTTTGTAGTTATAAGTTGTTGATTTTGTTAGACAAACATTTTCATTTATGATAAATTTTATAAATTTAATTAATTTCAAATTGTAATAAAAAGAAATGAATCTGAATAAGATTAATAAAAAAGAGAAGAAGATTAGAGAAAGTGGCGCTAAGTAAAAAAAAAGGTTCAATGGAAAATTTTGTTTGTATATAGAAGTCAAATTTTAAATGTGCTCCTCAAGATGAGAACTTATAAAAGAACAATGATTTAGCTACTGAAAAAGAAATGGTTCAGAATGATAACATCATTAGAGAGGGACAAATTTGGGAGTTGATAATAATAGAATTAATTTTTTAAATATGATATAAACATCATTATTGTTTTCTACCAAAATAAAGATCACTAATACTATAATACTCTGTATGATTATTTAGACATAATACCGTTTTACAATTATTTATAAATATTTTGAAATATTATTATTATTATGCATGTCACTTTAGATATAATAGGGTTTTACAATTTTTTGTAACCTTGCATCCCAGCTGGTTGCAAAGTTACCATGCCTAGTGAGAGGTCTAGAGTTCGAAACCCGCTAGGCACCTAGGTGGTTGAAACTTAATGGGTGAGTTTCAATCCCTATTACTCCAGACTCCCCCAGCTCCCCTTCACAGACCCCTGGAGTAAACAACAAAAAAAGACATTAGGTCCATTTTAATTCTCTATCTCCAGGCCACGTACAAGATCGGTCCTGAGTTCAGCTCATCATCTCTGCTAAGAATTACTCCGTATTATACAAGTCTAGTCACGATTAATACGAAGTATATTCGTGTCTCGTGTCACTTATTTTAATTTGATCTATTTTAAAATTGAAATAAGTATTGTACAAGAAATTGTACGCACATCCTAAAAAGCGTACTTGAATAGTGACGTACCAGTTCCGGGCCGACCGGCCCGGCCCGGCACTGTTTGGAACCGGCCCGGCCCGGTGGCCCTGTCAGAGACCGGTCCGGGTAGGCCCGATCCGGGTGTTACATAGGGCGGGCTTGGGTCAGCCAAAATGAGAAAAGTGTTATCTGTATGCAAAAAATTTCGTCTGCGCATACAAAAAAGTGTGTTAGAAGTGTAGGCAAAAAATGTGTATGCCAAATATAGTTCAAGAAGTATACTACTCTCTCCGTCCTGCTAAGATTTGCTCAGACACTATTGATCAACACAAATCGCTTCTAATCTTTTACTTTATATACCAATTTTTTTATCAGTTTTGATTCTGTATTTTACGATTTTCTAAAACTTTTAATGTAATTTCTGAATATGTATTTTTTTTTCTAAAAATAATTTGAATAGAATTGTTTGTTTTATCCGCAATCAAGCATGGTAACCGGAATGATCTAGTGGATGGAGGTAGTATCAATTTTGATGCTGAATACGGAACGGACTACGGAGTACGAAGTAACTCTGGTGAGAAATAAATGAGAATTATGAGATGCTAAATAAGCAAGAATTTAATAAAGAGCTAGAATATTACAGTATTTCAATTCCTCCTACCCAAAAACTGCGCATAAATTCCGAGATTTCGATCTCTACCTCCGCATTTAAACTAACCTAGCTAGGCTAATTAATTCAGCTTCACCGGCCACATGAAGAACGGCGGCTCGTCGGCGATTCAAGAATCCTTCCTCTTCTTTTTCTTCATCTTCCTCTCTCCGCCCTTGGTTGCCGGCGTTTTTATTCCGTCCCCGTTTAAGATGTCAGACAGGTTCCGGGAAGCGCCGGAGTATTATAACTCGCCGGAATGCCACTCCATTTTGGATGACAGGGACGACTTCATATGCTCCGGCGACGCCGCCGTCCACGTGGCGATGACCCTCGACGCCGCGTACATCCGCGGATCAATGGCGGCCGTTCTCTCCATCCTCCAACACTCTTCCTGTCCCCAGAGCGTCGACTTCCACTTCGTCACCTCCGCCTCCGCCGACGCGCAGCTACTACGCGCCACCATTGTGGCGTCGTTCCCGTACCTCCGGTTCCGAGTTTACCGGTTCGACGACTCGTTCGTCGCCGGATTGATCTCCACCTCCATCCGCTCCGCCCTGGACTGCCCCCTCAACTACGCCCGGAGCTATTTGGCGGAGATACTCCCGCTCTGCGTCGGAAAAGTGGTGTACCTCGACTCCGACCTCGTCGTCGTCGACGACATCGCCAAGCTCGCCGCCACGCCGCTCGGGGAAAACAGAGTACTCGCCGCGCCGGAGTACTGCAACGCGAATTTCACGGCGTACTTCACCCCGACTTTCTGGTCAAACCCATCGCTTTCCTCGGCGTTTGCCGGCCGGAGACCGTGCTACTTCAACACCGGCGTGATGGTGATCGATCTCGACCGGTGGAGAACAGGGGAGTACACGACCAAGATCGAAGAGTGGATGGAATTGCAGAAGAGGATTAGGATATACGAGCTGGGGTCCCTGCCGCCGTTCTTGCTGGTCTTCGCCGGAGAAATAGCGCCGGTGGATCACCGGTGGAATCAGCACGGCCTCGGAGGGGACAACTTCCGGGGACTGTGCAGAGACCTGCATCCCGGTCCGGTGAGCCTGTTGCATTGGAGCGGGAAAGGGAAGCCATGGGTGAGGCTGGATGCGAGCAGGCCCTGCCCTTTGGATGCTCTGTGGGCCCCTTATGATCTCTTACGGCCGCCATTTTCGCTTGAATCATGATCCGATCCCATGTTCAGGGAATTCTGGGACGATATTAAAATGGTACAGCTGGATTGGGGCATGAAGATTCCACTCCGATCCCACGCCGCCGCAAGCTGGAGGCGATTCCAGCAATGATGTAAAGATGAAGAAGGATGGCATTGACGAGTGATTTGAGGGGTGATTCAAAATTCAAAGTAGGGAAAATTAATGGCAAAGTTTAAAAATAAATAAATAAAAAGTACAGAGCTCATAACTTCATAATCCGAATTAATCATTTGTTATACTAAGGTGAAAATGATTAATCTTTTTTTGGTATTCCTTTTTATGAATTATTATTCGTTAAGATCATTTTCAGTAGTAGCAAATGGATTTTAGTAAAGCAAATGTACGTAATTTAGTTTAGATCACACATGTATACTCTTTTCTCTACACTCCAAAAAGTTGAACGTAGTAGTGGAGTACAAATTAATTTGTTCAAAATAAGATTTTAAAAAGTGTGCTTTCGTCTTCCATATGACTATTCAAATTAGTATATTTAATTAAAATATACTACGTATATATATTTAAATCAGACCTATTGAATCCCATTAAATATAACATTTCTATCTGAATAAAGAAAATGTCCCAACTATGTTTTATCCCCTCTCCAAAAAAACTACTAGTATACGTTTTTTTTTAAATAATCTACAAGTATACATCAAGTCTTATTAAAAGAATTAAAAAAAATCTCCCAAAAGAGGAGCGAATCAACCTTATTTTTGAAAGAAAACAATGACAATCTAATTTATGAAAAGTACCTTATACTTCGTATATTGGAAGAAGACAATGCACTCTTTTAATGCAATTTTAACGGTTATACCGTGACGCTCCCGTTAAAAATATTAGGGAAAATTACCTATATGTGGTTAATGATTTTATGGATTCATAATACTATATATATGACTAGCAAACATTTATGGTTAAATATAACTCTGTGCGAGTAATAATTGAATTCAAGAGAGAAAAAAAATATGATCAGAACACACATGATTCATATAAAATACCATTAATTTAGAAGTAAAAAGCTCTCTATAGTCATAAAAATATAATCTTTTGGTCATATTCTAGTACTTTTCTAAAAATTACAATATTATATGCAAAAAGTCATCTCTAAATATTTTGTGTCAACTTCTTATGGTAACATGGGAAGTACATGGATAAAGAAATTACAATGACCTAATTTTGTCAAGAAGAAAAATACAATTAAGACTTATATAATTAGAATAGTAGATCGAGTAATCCTAATGATGTTTTTAGTATTCTCTTGATCATTTCAGGTAGTATTAGACTATATTTCGATAACAACAAAATACACTCTTAGTCTCGTACCATTTTCTTTACTACGAAGTAGATCATACAAGACTAGTTGACATTACACATGACTTACAAAAATAAATTAGACCAGGTCGGACTTATCTAAATCAAAACATTTTAATCAGAGTGGAAACATTCCAAATGATACATATATGTACCATAAGTGGTGTGTTGGGAAAGAATGGAAAATACTAAAAGATCCCAAAAGAACAAGTTTCCCTATATAACGTGGAGGAACGATAATAATGTTTGGGGTGTATTTTTATGCACTCTTGCATATTTAGTATGACAATTGAGAACAAAAATTAGAACAGTGTTTTCACAGGAAAAAATAGTCTCCACAGGCAAGTGTAAAAACGTATAAACAGTATCCCGTGTACAAGAGGGATACATATATACTCATCAATTTTATTTGAAATTCCCTGCGTTTAGTCCCTTTAGTAATATTAAATTGATATTTTTAATTTTTCCACTATTATACTCGCTATTTAACAATAGATACGTGACTATAATGTCATTATTATAATAGTTGAAAGTCCAAGAATGTCATTTATATAACAGTCGAAATACTAAATTATATTTAATAACTTTTAAATAATAATATTTCAACTCTCGCACAATGGTGAACAGACTAAGTGTAAAAATATTCAATGTCTAGTAATGCTCATTTTAATAATGGAACGTACTAGCGTCATGTTAATTTGATTTAAAATGGTAATTAAATATTACTCCCTAATAAACATCGTTAATTATTTAAATACTTGTTAACAACATTTTTTATTGAAGAAAGGAATATGTTTACTAATATGTTGGTGAATGATAAAAGGGATCTTAAGAATTGATATGTATCTAATTTATTATTCTTTTGGTTTTAGACTTCTCATTATCTTTATTTTCTATTTATGAATAAATTAGTTGAAAGGGGTGTATACTGTATAGTATGCTTTAAGAGGAAAATTCATAGCATTTGATTGTAAATTTTGAGGTAACATTATATTACAAATTGATTTTCAGTCAATGTTCTTGGCAAAATATATGTGCAGATTAGGTCGAATTGCATATACTCCGTATGTGATATCACTTTTGCGAGAAAAAAACTACAATGTAAGTAATTAAGAATTGTGTTTGAGCTAAGAATAGCAATTAGACCTTTTTAGCATTTTCAATCAGTGAAAAAGTAGGAGGGTAGGGAAGGAGGAAATGTATAAAATAAAATACGAAAGTAGAAAAAATAAATGTAATTGAGTATTTAAAAGCAAAACATATTGAAATGGAAACTATATGAAAAAAAAATTGAGAAGTGAAGTTTAAACAACAAAATATAGAGAGAATATACTTGTTATAATATTCAATTTCTTATAGAGTTACTTATGTGATGAAGAATGAAGTGTTGAATTGAAATTGAGAATCGGGATGTATTTTCCATGTGCACGTGATCTATATGTGTATTATTTATTGATGGATGAGAGCTCGTAGAATTTATCAAAAATTGATTGCAGCCCGTTTGGTTACCTTATTTTCAATATACCAGCCTTATCAACCATTTTTTACCAAACATCTAACTTTTGATTTTGCGTGTTGAATTATGTAATAATCAATATAGTAAGGTTGAAGTTTCATTTCTTTATTTCATTAATAAAATATATATTCTAAATGTGCCTTTTCCATAATTCAACATATTTAGCCAATTTAGCTGATACCGCCCATTTCAGTGTTATCAAATAAGCTCTATCTCCCTCAGAAAAAGAATTGTTTTACATGATAAATAAACGAGGGTTTTCCTAAAACATTACTATTGAAAAAGCATGGACAAAAAAGTGATTTAGTATTTTAGTGACTTTTAGTCACTAAAAGTTACTAAGTTATATTTTTGTCCACCACTTTTCAAGGAGCAATATTAGTGATAGTTTTTATAAATAAATTGTTAAGCTGCTTATTTAATACTCCACATTTGAATGTTAGTGTGTGTAAGGAGCTAATTTGTGGTTGAACCAGGTTATAGTCCCAACAAAGATCCATCTTGTATGTGTGTATTGAATAGTGATGACAGATATTTATCACTATCTAATACTCCGTATGACAATAGTGATAATAGGCCAGGTGAGTACAATTATGTGTTTATCTCGCTAAGACGGAGATTCAATTGTTGTCTAATTGTTGTTTAGCATCTACGATTAAATGTATTTGTTTTACATATGTTTTTTCTTTATTTAACATTATAAAATATTTTAAATATAATATTTTTGAAAATCAACAAATTAGTGAAGTCAATTAGTTCAACTAAAATTTCATTGGTTTTAATAGACTCAAACCTTTTAACATCTAAGAGCTTATTCAATGTTACAATGTGCACGGTGCACATGTGACATGAGAGATATAGACACAAAATATTGATTTTATGATATTTATCTTTCCTTTTTTTCCACGGTCTTATGTGTTTTTGGTAAGTATTTGTCTGCAATGTCAACCATAATGTCTACATCTAGACATTGTGTTTGACTTTGTGAAGAAAAACTTACCAAAATGGTGTAAGATCCTTCAAATAGGGAGAGAGATATTCTATTTATTGTTTTCTAATTGGTTATTTCTCATGCCACGTATGCACCGTTAACGTTTTAGCATTAGAGATGTTCTAAGCGGCGGCCGTCTCCCTACATCGATTAAGGTTTTTTGTTATGCTGAGTTTCATTCGTGCGGCTTGGATTTTTGTGGAACGTGAGCTTCGTGCGGCTTTCCTCTTGAAAGTTTCAGAACGTGAGTGAAGAAACACAAGACAACATGATAGAGTTTTCTTCTGCACCTCGAACATGAATTTCAATGGCAAACCTCAAGGAGCAAATTGGCGAGAGCAAATTGGTGATCGCAGAAGGATAGAGTTTCAGACGATTTTTCAAGGGATGGAAATTCTCTTTTCCAATACTACAACAACCCGTTCTCCTTCTGAACCACCTCCGTGCGAGGAAGGAATTTGGGGAAAGTTTTTATTTTCGTATTAGTTTCTCTTTAGTAGTACTTTTTTTTCCCAGTTCGAGCATGAATGATTGGATTAGTTTGATTTTTGAAGAACTTTTGATGGGAAGTGCTTCGTTTTCGGCCGTTTTAGGCTTATTCTTGTCTGATTCGTATCTAGCGAGTCAGGTTTATTTATATAGGTGACTGACTCTAAGTGTATTCCTAAGACTTACGATCGGATATGTAATAAACTAATAACTTTTGTCTTGCATGTTTGCTCTATATTAATTAAATTCCGTTTTTACGATAAAAAAAGACTCTAACCTTTAAAGTTTAAACGATTTCAATGTTGCCAAATAAGTAAATCTACTAACTTTATGTTTTAGAAGACGTTTGGCAACACTGTTTTTCAGCTTATCAGGCTTATCAGCCAACTTTTACACCAAACGCATAGAACCTGTTTGGTAGCACGAAAATCGACTTACTTGGCTGATTCTGCCGAAATTTATGAAGTTCCGGCGGGAGTGGCTGCATTGGCTGATTCTGCTAAGTTAAGAAAAAAATATTTTAAAATACATTTTATTAATAAAATCAAGAAACAATTATATGTAAAATAGCTAAAATGATCATCTACAATAACTTCAGTCAATACACCCAGAAAAGTAACTCCAACCTTACTTTTTCTGCTTATTACACAATTCACCATGCGAAAGCAAAAAGTTATGTGTTTGGTGAAAAAGTTGATTGATAAGCCTGATAAGCCGAAATATAGTGTTGCCAAATGGCCTCGTAACTTTTGTTTGCGCGCGCTGAATTGTATAATAAACATAAACAGTAAGGTTGAAGATACTGTAGATGGCCATTGTAGCTATTTTTACATATAATCTTTTATTTATTTTATTAATAAAATATATTTTAAAAATAATTTTTTTTGAATCAGCAGAATCAACCGATTTTCATGTTATCAAACGGGTTCTTAAAGTTATTGTTGGGAATGTTAGCCCAAAGTGCTTGATCCGGTCCAATTAGAAAATCACATGCCCAAAGATCTGGAATGACCTAACCCTACTTCCGCTACGTCGTCTCTTCGGTGTACCAATTCATCTGATCTACCATCTCTCAGCCAGACGGTGGTACGCTAGATTGTTCTCTCCCTTTCCATCGCTTCTATTCACACCGTAAAAACCGAACCCAATCTCCCTTCCC